AGCTCAACTGACTCAGTCGCAGTGGCCTTCACTACCCTCAAAGTCCTTTGCATCCTATCGATAAATACCTGAGGGTCCTCGTTTGGATCTACTCCGGTGAATACCGGAGGATCCAAATTAATGAAATCACAAACCCTCGCACTAATGGCCCTATCTACATGACTAATACCTACTTCTTGGCGCCAAGCATATGCGGCCACTAATCGAGTCAATAGATGAATAGCATCTCCCATCTCCTGACCCAGTGCATCTGGTTGAAGAGCTGGGGATACTGGGGCGGGTGTTAGAGATGGTGCCCATTGGATCTCCTCTGGAGAGGGTAGGGTATGTGAAGTCTGAGATGGAGTCTCACTATAAGACTCTCCCCGAGCCCTGGTAACTCATGGCGCTCGACTCGTAGTCTCATCAGCCACGGACTTACCCTTCTAGGCAGCTATAGCCTTCTTAGGCATCGCTGAAAACATAATATATCATTAGAAAAATGAATCCTTATATTGCACGATCTAGGATAAAAAGCGAGGATAACAACTTATATGTCATGCAGCCTCATGTTTATAAGTGTGGTGCACAACACACGCATAAACAAGACTCTACTAGACACGGTCTGTAGACAACCCTAGGACAAAATTGCTTTGATATCACTTTTGTCACGACCCAAACCGATGGGCCATGACGAGTGCCCGAGTCTTACCTGTCGAACACCCCTAAGGATACGTTTATGATATAAACATGAAATAGGGGTAGGTCATGCAAAACATCTGTCAATAAACTGCTAAATCATGTGAATAACATACGTAAGGAAACATGCCCAAAAGATATATATATATATATATGGGCCATGACGAGTGCCCGAGTCTTACCTGTCGAACACCCCTAAGGATACGTCTATGATATAAACATGAAATAGGGGTAGGTCATGCATAACATCTGTCAATAAACTGCTAAATCATGTGAATAGCATACGTAAGGAAACATGCCCTATATATATATATATATATATATATATATGTTTAGGGCGAGCCGACAAGGCTGCTGCTATATATATCAAAATAGAAGACGACAAGGCCACACTCTATCCAACTATACATGACTATCTACAGACCTCTCATAGAGTGTACAACTGTATAAAGGACAGGACTGGGGCCCGTCATATATATGTATACAAAAATATCGTACCAAAACCCAATAGCACCTCTGGATCAAATGGAGCACACCAACTCTCGCCGAGCAAGGATCTTAAGAAGGGGGGCCATCAGCCTGTCTACCTGCACCTGCGGGCATGAAACACAGGCTCCCAGGCAATAGGGGCGTCACTACGAATAATGTACCGAGTATGTAAGGCATAAAAATCAGTATATAAAAGACATGAAAGTTGTGTGTTTGCTCATTTCGTTGTATCATATGGATCATGCTAAAAGGAAAGAAGTGATAGCCTCAACATACGTTATAGAAATGTGTCCAATAACAATGCTAAACTCAGCTCACTACACCTTAATCTACAACAACGACAGTGAAGCTATTGTCAAGCTACGAATGACTCTCTCATGAATATAACAAAAGTAACTTAATCTGTAACAAAACATGTAGCATTTCCCCTGATTTTACTGCTTCATCAAGCCTACTATAGTCGAGACAATAACACAATACAATCAGCAACTCAAAAATAACCTAACTACAATTCGGGACCCTTAATACAACAAAAAACCCAAATATACCATAACACGCCCAATCAACAAATTATCAATTAGCCTGAAATTACAACGACGAGCGACCAGCCCACAACCCTACCACATGTGGCGTTTCTCCACACCCTTTATCCTTCCAAACTCTATAAATCAGTAACACAAGAGGCCGACACGAGTGGACTACAAAATAGTCCACTACAAGTGGAATAAATCGAACTCACGGCTTCTGATTACTGTCCCGTGAGTTCTAACTATTAGAAAACGAATTTATCAACCTTCCTTGATATTTAAAAGGCTTAAATATAGCAAGTAGGTGTTTTATCAACAGTGAAGTACCTTCCAAAACTCAAACTACAAAGAAAAAGAGAGGCGGCATAATGATACTTACGTTGTAGGGATTGTTCTGATGTGATCACTTCTTGATTTCGTACCCGTGATGTTAATCGTTTTTGCAACCCTTGTAAAGAGATTAAGGATAGGTTTATAGGTGTTATCTGTTCGTGTTCTATGGGAAAATGAAGAGAAAGACGACTTAAGACCTATATATATCAACTTTTGAAAAGTCAAAGAGGTGCTAGTTTGGCACCCTAGCATTGGCCCTTCTTCAGACGCTCATATCTTTTTATTCGGACGCCGTATGAATGAACGGTTAAGAGTGTTGGAAATGACATTTCAAGACCTTCAATCTGGTATATAATATGTCCCAAAAAGACTTCATATAACACATAAAATGTATTGCTCAAAAAGCTTTGTTACAAGGCAAATCCTTAGTCGGTTTTTCCATAACTTAAATACGATTTTTTCCAAACTTTATATTTTATATCCAAACATCATATACAGTCATATTATGACTTTACACTCATTTAAATCATGATTAACAAGTCTCATATTTATTATACGTCACCTTGTAACACCTTAGTGGTATTTTTCATACGGGGCTTTAAGGGTATGGGGTAAGGGTACGTTTTCTAGTTCCCTACGGTACCAGTACCCCTACCGGTCCTAAGGATACGGTACCGGTACATAAGGATAATTTTAAATTAAAAAATTATATTTTAATACAAACAAACTTTAATAGATGAAAAAAAATTCAATACTTTTATTTCAATACTTATAAAAATAGAATTACAATTTACGGAATTTTTCAACATCACTTGTTTTTCTGCATCCCCACAGTCTCTAATAGATAGTATTTCACCATAGGCACCATCGTCTTCTTGAATTATTTTTGGAAGGCCAAAGTTTCTTCTCTTCTAATATTTCAGCATGTCTTCATTTCCTTCATCATCGCAAACATTATTTCTAACTATTGTTCTCGGAAAACCTTGAAAAGTAGGATCATATGTTTCTTGTATGTAACGCCTAAACCCGAACTGATTAGGATTTGTTTTTAAACAAGGACCTCTCCTCATTAGCATTACCCTTAGTAAATCTATTACACACTTTTTTACCAGATTAGGAGTCATTTTTAATAATAAATAATTAAAATTATACCAAATAGTAATACAAGTATAACAAAATAAATGCGACTATTAATATGAGTGCTAGAAGGTTAACTGCAATTAGAGATAAAGAGAAATAGAGAAATAGAGGGATATGAGAGTTTTTGAGTGAAAATTGAAAGAATGAAATGGAGTATTTATAGTTTTAAAATAGGGCCAAAAGGGTATCGGTACAAAAAGGCCAGATTTAAAAAAAAAACGTAAGGGTATCCTTTCGGTATCTTAAGGGTACCAACCGGATCGATACTAAAGGTATTTTTTCCAGTACCCTCCCATCACCCTTACCCTTTACCCAAATTCCTCACTCCTACCCCAATTTGGACCGATACTGGTACGGTGCGGTACCGTACCAGTACGGGTAATACCCTCCCTTTAGACAACCCTATCTCTACCCTCGAAACAACCCTACCTCTGCCCTTCGAGGGTAGAGAGTATGTTTCCGATAGACTCCCTTTTAAAGTGATGTAATAAAAACCTAGTTTTGAAAATTAGTCGTGTAAAAAAAAACTAATTTGAAAATTAGTGATGGTCCATGACAATCCCTTATAATAGAAATCAGTTGCAATGTCGGTAGCCTAGAATATCATTGCCCGCACTACTGTTTAAAAGAAGTTGGCTGGCTACCACAAATTCAATGTAGATGCAATTATTTTCAAATATTATTCAGTTATCAGTTATATACATATAATTCAGTCGAAGTCAACCATTTAGGTTGTACCCACTATTCTTGTGCCATATCAGCGTATATTGTACAATAGGCAAATTTGAGTATTTCTAGAACGTTTTTACTATGATAATCCTGTTAAACTAACATGATCCTTTCTCGCATAACGTTCACATTTTGATATGCTGATTCACGCATAACTTTGAAAATGTTAATTTTGTAGGCGACATAATTACATCGTCGGTCATTTACCTTTTAACAGAAGGCGTCAGAGAGAGACAATGGCATATGCATCGAGTTCGTTACAACTTGACAAAAACCCTTTTCAATTATGTTTTCCTTTTCTTGTTTGGAATTAACAAACCAGAATTGATGATTAATCACAAAATGTCTGACTTAGCTCAATCTTGCCAGTGTCTCATTTTTTGGTTGTTTACTTTTTTATAATTCCGATTTATTTTTGTTATATAGAACAATAATATAAACCAAACAATGGTAAGAACTTTCCACTTTTTTGCAACTTATTTCATATGAAATGAGAAAACAAATACTCACATCACCAGTATATGTGCTTGCTTTCATTTTCATTTCACCTCTATTTCATTCAACTGCATACGAAGCAGGATCCAACACTAGTCAGGTTCAACGAACTACCTTGAAAACTATATCAAGAATTCACTTTAAAAAAGGGACAGCCCAAAGTCCAATGCACAAAGCATCCCCCATTTACCTTAGAAGGGCCGCACTCCAAGGGATGTGATATAAACAACCTACCCAAATGCAAACATTAGCGGTTGCTTCCATGGCTCGAACCCGTGACATATAGGTCATACGGAGACAACTTTACCGTTGCTCCAAGGCTCCCCTTCCAAGAATGTAAAGTTCTTAATATACGGAGCCATTAGTGGCTCCAAGAATTCACTAACCTAAACAAAAAAATGTCCACATTCCCCGTGTACATGGGAGCGAGACCGGCCAGTCCAAAACAAGGAAAAGTGTGGAGTTGGGAGTCACGAGGTTTGGAGAACAAAGGACTTTGAGAGGAAAGCTTGTTGATTCCATATACTATAAGATTTTGTTCTGCACTTGTTACATACCCATTGTAGATAGGAAAGGATGTCTAATATTACGTCAAAGAAAAAATATAGGGCCTGGAAAAAATAAAGATCTCAATATCTTAGTGCAAGGTGTATAAGCTCAAGTTTCGCCAAAATTTTAGTGCAAAAATCATGATGGGCAAAGTGTATAATAACCAAATAATCTCATACTGGACACTGTTCTAGATAACAATACATCATTGGATGCTAGTAAAAAGTAAAAAATATCAAACAATACCATGCTACGCAAGACTCCAAACTCATGAATACTTGTGTGCGTATCTGAAAGATGGACCAACTTCTCTTCCAATAAATGCTGCTGAGAACCATAAGTTTCTGGTGTTGCTGCTGCTCTGTCAGTGTGCAATTAAAACCTTTTATGCTCATCTTGCCTCTGAAGACTGTTCAAATAGTAAGGGGTCGTGTGAGTGATCATCAGCTTCAAACTGGATTGTAAAAGCAACTGTTCCAGGAATACATCGATGAATGCAAAACTCAAAAAATCAAAAAAGGCTCAATCCTCTTAACTCAGTTTGATTAGATAATATCTAGAATGTCACAACTGGAAGCATGGCTATCTTTGTCGTATCTACGCTCTTATCATCATTCATCAACCAAAAAGGTTTATGTGAAGTACCAACAAAAAGAAACCATCTCCACCTTTTAAGTTATCAGGTTGCTTATGCATTATCAGCAACAGTAGGCAGTGCAGTAATTTTCCCCACAGCAACAGTTTTCCCTACACAAACAGCAGTCATTATAATCACATGTTGCATGACGTGCAGAGAAATAAAAACAATAAGCTTACAGAGCACAATGGTTCTTACCTTCAGTGCGAAGAGTGAATCGTCCAAGTTGTGCAAAGTCGGAGAACTTCTCTACACATATCAGATTATTCACCTGGCATGATAATTTGGAAGAATTAACTTCGAGACAAAACACAACTAAAGGACAAGGTTTTCAAAAAATTTATAAGGGAAGGGTGAAAGAAACAGGACGACGGAGTTCAAGGTAAAGAAAAGATTTTATCCCCTAACTAGATAATCTTTCATCATTCTTTATTAGATAGGCCAGACAACCAGCATAGAACACATTCTGCTATACTATTAATTAGACTCTCAGATCAAACAAGATAAGTAACAGCTTCAAGAGATAGAGGAATTCACAAACATTTGCGTGAGAATGGTGACTTCTGCAAATTCAAATGGTAACAAAGAGGGAACCACAAAAACATGAAGACAGCACCTAAAGAGTCGAATCCAAGAACCAATTCTTTCCATTCTAAAGGTCCACCAGGTACTATTAAAATACTATTGAAGAAAAAGGTCCACCAGGTACTCAGTTAGACAGCTAACCTGAACACGGCATAAAACAATAGCACCGTTCTTTACAAACAGAGGTTTTTTCTTCATAGGTTTCTTTGTCTTTAAATCAATCTGCTGCATCAGTTCAACAATCTCACATTCCTCAACCACAGAATGGATGTGCAACACAGCTTTGTAGCCAGCAGTAAAAATAGCCTGAGCCAACATGGAACTTCATTAAGAGACTGGTTCCACATGTGCATTTTTGAACCCAAGTGAGGTAATGAAATGCTAAGTTAAAGAGTTGGATTCATACATTGTCCAACAGCTCAAGGATCTGTAACTGTGCAACAAACTCAGTAACTGCATGTATTGGCTTTGCTGCAAACATGAAACTTGTCAGAAATAACAAAAAACTTGAAAGCCATACATAACAAAATGATAGCTAAAAGAAACAACTTGAGGTTACAATATGAAACCACATTTGAATTGTTCTAAACCAAGACAAAGCATTTACCTTCCTCTCTTATCCTTA